TGGGCAAGCACAGCCTCTTCACACGGGAGGTCGGGGAGATGAGGAAGATGGTGGCCAAGTCTGTGGCCCATCCCAGCTACGACCCCACCACCAAGGACAACGACATCATGTTGCTGAAGCTCCTCAGCCCCGTCACCTTCACCGAGAGGATCCAGCCCATCCCCGTGGCCTCTTGCCTGGCCCAGCCCGGCACCACCTGCACCACCTCGGGATGGGGGGCGACCACCTCCCCAGAAGGTACCTACTGACCTCGGCCGCTGCTGGAGGCCCTTGTTGACCTCCTGGAGATCCATGTTGACCTCTTGGAGGTCCTTGTTGACCTCCTGGAGGCCCATGTTGACCTCCTGGAGACCCATGTTGACCTCTTGGAGGTCCTTGTTGACCTCCTGGAGATCCATGTCTCCCTCTGGAGGCCCATGTTGACCTCCTGGAGGCCCATGTTGACCTCCTGGAGGTCCTTGTTGACCTGGAGATCCATATTGACCTCTTGGAGATCCATGTATCCCTCTGGAGATCCATGTTGACCTCCTGGAGGTCCTTGTTGACCTGGAGATCCATATTGACCTCTTGGAGATCCACGTCTCCCTCTGGAGATCCTTGTTGACCTCCTGGAGGTCCTTGTTGACCTTCTGGAGATCCATGTCTCCCTCTGGAGATCCATGTTGACCTCCTGGAGGTCCTTGTTGACCTGGAGATGCATATTGACCTCCTGGAGATCCATGTTGACCTTCTGGAGACCTATGTTGACTTCCTGGAGATCCATGTTGACCTCCTGGAGATCCATGTTGACCTCCTGGAGATCCATGTCTCCCTCTGGAGACCCATGTTGACCTCCTGGAGGTCCTTGTTGACCTCCTGGAGATCCATGTCTTCCTGGAGATCCATGTTGACCTTCTGGAGACCTATGTTGACTTCCTGGAGATCCATGTTGACCTCCTGGAGATCCATGTTGACCTCCTGGAGGTCCTTGTTGACCTCCTGGAGATCCTTGTTGACCTCCTGGAGATCCATGTATCCCTCTGGAGATCCATGTTGACCTCCTGGTGACCCATGTTGACCTCCTGGAGGTTCGTGTTGACCTCCTGGAGGTTTGTGTCAACCTCCTGGAGGTCCAGATCCCCTCTTGAAGTTCTGGGTCCCCTCCTGGAGATCCACATCCCCTCTTGGGGGTCCAATTCTTTTTCTGGAGGCCCAAATCCCCTCCTGAAGGTCTAGGTCCTCTTTTAGAGGTCCAGGTTATCTCCTGGAGGTCTAGGTCCTCTCCTGGACCTCTGGGTCCTCTCCTGAACACCCAAGTCCCTTGTTGGCCTCTGGGTCCTATCTTGGACCTCTAGATCCTCTCCTGGACCCCTGGATCCCTTCCTGGACCTCTGGGTCCCCTCTCCTGGTCACCTGGATCCCTTCCTGGACCTCTGGGTCCCCTCCTGGTCACCTGGGTCCCTTCCTGGATCTCTGGGTCCTCTCCTGAACACCCAAGTCCCTTGTTGGCCTCTGGGTCCTATCTTGGACTTCTGGGTCCTCTCCTGGTCACCTGGATCCCTTCATGAACCCCTGGGTCCCCTCCTGGTCACCTGGGTCCCCTCCTGGTCGCCTGGATCCCTTCATGGACCTCTGGGTCCCCTCCTGGACCTCTGGGTCCTCTCCTGAACACCCAAGTCCCTCATTGGCCTCTGGGTCCTATCTTGGACCTCTAGATCCTCTCCTGGACCCCTGGATGCCTTCCTGGATCTCTGGGTCCCCTCCTGGTCCTCTGGGTCCTCTCCTGAACACCTGGATCCCCTCGTTGATCTCTGGGTCCCCTCCTGGTCACCTGGGTCCCCTCCTGGTCGCCTGGATCCCTTCATGGACCTCTGGGTCCCCTCCTGGACCTCTGGGTCCTCTCCTGAACACCCAAGTCCCTCATTGGCCTCTGGGTCCTATCTTGGACCTCTGGGTCCTCTCCTGGTCTCTTGGATCCCTTCCTGGATCTCTGGGTCCCCTCCTGGTCCTCTGGGTCCTCTCCTGAACACCTGGATCCCCTCGTTGATCTCTGGGTCCCCTCCTGGTCACCTGGGTCCCTTCATGGACCTCTGGGTCCTATCTTGGACATCTGGATCCCTTCCTGGACCTCTGGGTCCCCTCTCCTGGTCACCTGGATCCCTTCCTGGACCTCTGGGTCCCCTCTCCTGGTCACCTGGATCCCTTCCTGGACCTCTGGGTCCCCTCTCCTGGTCACCTGGATCCCTTCCTGGACCTCTGGGTCCCCTCTCCTGGTCACCTGGATCCCTTCCTGGACCTCTGGGTCCCCTCTCCTGGTCACCTGGATCCCTTCCTGGACCTCTGGGTCCCCTCTCCTGGTCACCTGGATCCCTTCCTGGACCTCTGGGTCCCCTCTCCTGGTCACTTGGATCCCTTCATGGACCTCTGGGTTCCCTCTCCTGGTCACCTGGGTCCCCTCCTGGTCACCTGGGTCCTTTCATGGACCTCTGGGTCCTATCTTGGACCTCTAGGTCCTCTCCTGGACCTCTGGATCCCCTCCTGGACCTCTGGGTCCTTTCCTGGTCACCTAGGTCCCCTCCTGGTCACCTGGATCCCTTCATGGACACCTGGCCTCCTGGTCACCTGGGTCCCTTCATGGACCTCTGGGTTCTCTCCTGGTCACCCTGGATCCTCTCCTGGACCTCTGGGTCCTTTCCTGAACACCCAAGTCCCTTGTTGGCCTCTGGGTCCTATCTTGGACTTCTGAGTCCTTTCCTGGTCTCCTGGATCCCTTCCTGGACCTCTGGATCCTCTCCTGGACCCCTGGATCCCTTCCTGGATCTCTGGGTCCCCTCCTGGACCCCTGGGTCCCTTCCTGGACCTCTGTGTCCCCTCCTGGACCCCTGGATCCCTTCCTGGATCTCTGGGTCCCCTCCTGGACCCCTGGGTCCCTTCATGGACCTCTGGGTTCTCTCCTGGTCATCTCCTGGACCCCTGGGTCCCTTCCTGGATCTCTGGGTCCCCTCCTGGACCCCTGGGTCCCTTCATGGACCTCTGGGTTCTCTCATGGTCACCTGGATCCCTTCATGGACCTCTGGGTCTCCACCTGAACCTCTAGGTCCCCTCCTGGACCCCTGTGTCCCCTCCTCCTCCTCCTCTTCCCCCTCCACCCCCACCACCTCCCAGGCTCATCCCACCTCCCTCCCGCTGGGTGGGACCTTCTGGGGTGACTTCTCGTGGGGGTTCCCGGGTCGATCCCCCCTGGTTTCTCTCTCTCTCTCCCCTCCCCAGTCACCTACCCCGAGGTCCTGCAGTGCGTCAACGTCACCATCTTCTCCAGCAGCGCCTGCCAGCGCTGGTACCCGGGCTCCATCACCCCCAACATGGTCTGCGCAGGGAACCTGGAGGGGGGCAGGGACTCCTGCCAGGGAAGGGCACCTGGGGGGTGGGACAGGTCTGCTGGGGGGGGTTCTTCTGGTTCTTCTTCTGGTGGTTTTTCTTCTGGTGGTGGTTCTTCTGCTGGTGGTTCTTCTGGTGGTTCTTTTTCTGCTGGTGGTTCTTCTTCTGGTGGTTCTTCTGCTGGTGGTTCTTCTGGTGGTGGTTCTTCTGGTGGTGGTTCTTCTTCTGGTGGTGGTTCTTCTG